TTCTTCTTCCTGGCTGGCGCCACAGCCCCGTGGGCCTCCAGCTGGTGCTTCTCCAGCTCCTTCTTGGTGGCCCTGACCTGGCCGCACTCCTTGCACTGCACCTGCTTCCCTCGGGCCACCCGGCAGCGCTTCGCGTGCACCTTCAGGCGGCAGTAGAAGTGGAAGCTCTTGTCACAGGCTTTGCACACAAAACTCTTCTTGGAAGAAGCCTTCTCCTGGGGATTCTTTGCTTCCTTGGCCACAGCACCTCCCATCTTGTCCTCCTCTTTGTCCAGGGCTTCCACCTGGGATTCACTGTTTACCTTCCACTTCCTGATCCCAGGTTTCTCCTCGCTTCCCTCAGTCAGGATTCCTGTGCAAAAAGAACCTCTTTTTTCAGTGCCCATCAGGAATGGGGGTCACCAGCATCCCCGGGCTCCCATCTCCCTAATGCTCCCACAGGGAGCCCTCCCGCTGTGCTGCCGGCCCCGCGAGGACGGACACGCTCCGGGCACGCTGTCCCATCAGGATGGTGGCACATGGCTCCCTCCGTGCAGGAACGGCCACAGGAACACCCGCTACAGGGCATGGAGAAAGCAAGCCCAGAGTTTTCCCAACAAAAGCACTCACACGCATCAAGGGATGCATTATATGGCCCGAGCCAGGACTGGATTTTCCAAAGACCTCACCTAGGTGATGAGAACTTGTCCTCACTGGAAGGAACAGCTGATGCTTTCCCGTGTCTGCCTCCTGCTCAGACACACGAACCTAGGACCACGCTCAAAATGTTTGAAGATCTGGACCCCAGGTGCCTGCTGTTGAGAGGGGATCTCCATCCATTCATTACAAGGAACCTCCTTTCAAACGGCAGCTCTTTCAAAGCAAACACACAATCTTGCTACAGCCCTTCCGCATCTTCTGGGCAGGGCCCTGAGGTATTTTCAGTTGCTCATTCCCTTCCCTTCCTGCAGAGTCTCAAGCTTTCCCGAGTCCCTGTAAGGCCATCGTCTCCAAACACACAAGCTGGAAAATTCACCTAGGAGCTCGAGAGCCCCACTGGGAACACATGGATGGACAAAAACCAAAATCCAAACTGATATTCTCAGCTGCTTTGCTCTGCTACAAACCATGCGATTGTGTGGCCATGGAAAGCGGGGCAGACTTCTCCTTTTGCCAAGGCACAGGAAAATTGAGCCGGCGCTTGCAAAACTCCATCTCTCCCTGCTTGGCTCTGGGAAGGGCTCGGGAAAGCACCCTCCCTCCCGCAGAGTGAAAGTGCCCTGAATTTCCAAACAACTAGGAACCAGCTGATCCTTAGCAACAGCAGCCTCTCTGATAGCAGTGCCAGAGCAGTTCAGACAGGTCCCCAGCCCCTCGCTGGTGCCCAGGAATGAAGGGGTGCCTTGAGGAGCAATTTTGCTGCCTTCCTTCTGCGGGAGCCCCCGTGGCACCAGCCACTTCTGTGTCACAATCCCTGGCACATCCCGTGCTCGGACGGGGCCAAGGGGAGAGACGCCGGCAGCTGCGGGTCCCTCGAGGGGCAGGAAAGGAAGGGCAGAAAGCAAGAAACCACCTTCTGTCTGAAGAGCCTCCGTGGGTCATGGGCAGCCAAGGGAGACATTTGGGGGACTGGCAGCTCTTCTCCAGGCAGAAGCAGGGATCTGGATCCAAACTGGGTGTGAATATTGGCTTTGTAGAGTAGCACATCTCTCAGGGGGACTGCTAGGGACATATAAAACCCATGAGGGAGTTAAAGGAAGATGAGCAGAGCACGTGCTATTCCCTCAAAGCTCTACAGATAGAACAAGTCCAATTCTCAGTTTCTTCTGCACACGCAGTGTTCTGAGCAACCTGACCCCTTCTCCCTCTCTCCTTGCCACCTTCTCAGGACACAGGGAATACTTCCTTGGCTTGTCAACTCACGGACATGAAACGACAGCAAGCCAGAAGGCTCATGTTCATTCATAAAAACTGACCGTGGTCCAGGCCTAAATTTTCTGAACAAAACGCAAACTTTCTTCCCCTACAGAAGACAGATGTTAATAAGCTGCTTACTCAGACTACCTAAAAATCTGCTACTATTTCCACGCTCTGCCACGAGATCACAGAACCCCAGAATGGTTGAGGTTGGCAGGGACCTCTAGGGATCACCCAGTGCAGCCCCTGCCCCAGCAGGGACACCCAGGGCACAGAGCAGCATCTAGGTGGGCTGGAGATCTCCAGAGAAGGAGCCTCCACAGCCTCTCTAGGCAGCCTGTGCCAGGGCTCTGGCACCCTCACAGCAAAGCAGCTCTTCCTCCGATGCAGATGGAACTGCCTGGGTTTTAATTTATACCCATTACTCCTTGTCCTGTCACTGGCCACCACCTAGAAGAGTTTGGCCCCATCCTCTTTACATCCTCCCCTCAGATGTTTGTTCGTATTGACCAGATCCCCCTCAATCTTCCCTTCTCCAGGCGGAACAGGCCCCGCATGCTTAGCCTTTCCCCATACAGGATAAGCAGCTCTGGCACCATGAGCAAGTAGGGATGGACTGAGCTGAACCCAGATCTCTTCTTGGGTGAGAAAAGCAAGACCACGGTGGGCTCGAAAGAACCTGCAACGGATGCATTGGGAAGCAGGATGCCTTGAGAATGCACATGTGCAAACGTATGCAGACATCCTCTTTGAAAAGGATGCCAACCCTCCATCAGTTTCCCAGCTCTCTTACCTTTTTCATTAAAGTACCACATTCTGCTAAGCATCCTTCCTCCAAATGAGAAAGCAGAGCTACAATTTAGCTCAGCTGGAGAGCATCCCCCAGCTCAGGGCAGTGCCTTGCACATGGGGAGACACACAGCTGTGCTCTTGTTTCTAGAGTTCACCAAACTGCTGTCTGCATTTCCCTCGCTCATACCTTTGCCAAGAGGGTATCGCATGTAACGTTCCCCCCACTGCTGTGGGACCCTCCCAGGGGAGCGTTTGCCCTGTAAAGTATAGATAAAGCAGGGCCAAATCAGGGCACAGTGGGAGAAGAACTCCAAGACAGTGTGGGACTTCAGGCAGCACTGTTGCTGCTTGGGGATGGTCACCTGTCCCCAAGAGGATCAGCCTGTGACACATCCACACACACACAGGGCCAACAGATTGTAACGTACAGGTATAAATCGATGCAGATCCAAAAGTACGTAAAATACAAGGAGACGAAGAAACCCCACCTGATAAGTAACTAAATTCTGAAAGAAATAAGTCAAAATGCATATAAATCATGCGACTAAGCTGCTAAAATATATCCAGAGCAAAGCTGGAAAATCAGGAAAATAGCTAAAGAATACCAGAACGTGGCCATTTTTGGTCTCCATGACCTTTGTAACACAGAAACTTTTAAGCCGAGCATTATAGCAGCAGGAAAAATCTTGGACCCAGAGACCATCCTTGTGAATCCCCTTGTAAGCACAACCCAGACATCCAGAAACAGGGGAGCATTTCTGTGACATTATCTCAGACCTCCAGGACACCAAGATCCTCCTCAGCTCGAATTGCCCATAAATGAATGTAAAAGCTGAGGCAGGAATCAAAACCTGTGCGTTTCTTACCCACGTGTCCCAGCTCCTGCATCACTGGCTGGAGGTCCGGGAAGGACTCGTGAACACTGCACAGCAGCTGGCAGATCTTGATGGCTGGGACAGACCTCCCCTGCACTGTGCTCAGAGCCGCTCTCAGCGAGGCCTCGGAGCTCTCCTTTTGAGCAGAAATACTCAGCAGCTAGAGAAGTAAAAAGAAAGAAGTGGCACATGATAGAGAACTTGTGCTCTGAAGGGTGAGGAAGGTTTGGGGGTGATGGTGTTTCCTCTAGTGCTGGCAACCTGCTTTGAGAAACCAGAAAAGAAACCACATTCTACATGGGTCCATGCCCTTCTATTTGGATATGTGGTAACTTATAACTGCATGAACTGAGAGTATTTCAGGATTTTTAAAAGTTGCAACAAATGCATCTCCTGAACTTTCTGTGCTGGTATTGGCTCACCTACAACCACCTCTCCACGGAAAGAGAGTTTTCTCAATGCCCTACAGCAAAAATGATCCCACTAACTTGTAAACCTGTCCTTCATGTACAACCCCCTTCAGGCTCTTCTCTCCTTTCCAAGCCCAACCCTCCAGTCACTGCAAATAAATTTGGGGTGAAAATCCGTGCACGCTCACCTGCAAGAGCAGCTAGGCACAGCAGGGATGAGCAACTGTAGGGTGGAAGAGGCTCAGCACACAGTTAGGAGCCAACACGTCCCAGTGCCAAGGAGCAAATGCTACTGCACACTCCAACATCACAGGACGAGCAGCAGTGACACCCTCACTGCATTTTCCAGCAATACCTCATTCTTGTATTGGATAGAGTATCCAGGCAACTGACTCCAAGGAAAAACCCACTCCCTGCCAAGGCTCCGGGGCTCCGGATGATGCCGGTTGTCCGCGCTGAGCCCGGGCACAGCCGGAGACACCCGCTGCATCCCCCCCTCCTACCTCCCTCACTGCCTCTGCAAGTCCTGCTTCCCCCGGAGCCAAGTCCTGCCGGGCTGCTCGCTGCTCCATGGCCTCTGCGACGAGCTTGCTGTGCCGCACGATGATCTCCAGGGCTCTGCTCTCGCTGCTGGCCACTAGCGAGGGGGAAAGCAAAAGGGTCTTAAAAACACGGCCCTGCCCTCCGGCACACAGCAGGACCAACAGGGCTAGCACGTGTGTGTAACAGGATTCTGCACAGTCTCCATCCCTGTTACTGCAGTGTCCCTCCATGCAAGCAACCCGCTTGCTCTGGGGAGTTTTCTACAGTTAAGGGAGGGAAAAGGATGGTTTGGGTTTCAAAATAGGAAAATGTTGATTATAGGACATTCAAAGCTGGCAGGGAAATCCACAGCCACAGGTCAAGGCTCTGGAGAGGGCAGGGTAAAAGCTGTGCACATAGACCTCTCATTTAAGCCGTGCTTTTAGCCTGATGGGCCTTCGGTCCTGCTGGATTTTAGCACAAAAAAAAACAGGATGGCAGCTACAGAGGAAAAAAGGTTAAGGAGCAGCCAGGTGTCCTCCCAGCTCTCAGAAGATTTGCTCCTTGTAAAGCCTTAGGGAGCCCTGTAAAACACAGGGTCCCAAGAAGAGCTCTTAGGCAGCCACTTTTGTGGATGAAGGTGCCTGATCAACTGTTCATCTCCCAGGGGATGCAGGTTTTGACATACACTGCAGAGAAGGAAAATAATAATAATAAAAAAAATTTAAAAACAGGAGCACCAGATAGTCTGTGGGGAAAGTAATTCCAGCAAAGGGAGTGCGAAAGAATCTAAGAGATCAACAGGTGGAGGAGGAAGGAGTTTGAGCAACCCTGCTTTTGATGGGGCTTGGAGACAGGAGAGGGCTCAGAAAGGGGCCATAAACAGAGTGTGGCCCTGAGACAGGGACCGTTACCTGCTTGGAAGAAGAGGTCTGCGCCCGCTTCCTTCTGGATGTCCTGCAGGAGCACGCGCAGGGGAAGCTCGGCCTCTCGCACGGCCAAGAGGAGCTGCCAAACGGCAGGCACCGGCAGGGGCCGCTCGGCGAGCGCCCGCGGCAACAGCGAGCGACA